ATATATAGTATGTATGTATAATCATTCATCGTATAGTTGTAAATGTTAAAATGTATGAATGCATGTGTTATTTTCATGATTAATATAAGTGTTATATTAATTAGATGAAAATAAAGTTGCATTGAACATGACATTACATTAGTTAATATAATTGTTATATTAATGTATGCTTATAATGCATGATCATAGTTTTAATTTCTTAAATTTTATAAGAGTAATAAAATTTGGTAGATAGAAATTAAAATCTATAATAAAGAATTGCATGCAAACATATGGTCTAAGTTAATTAATTTTAAACGGGTTTAAAGTTAATGAGACCTTAGGTTATATCTTCTAATATGATTAGGAGGTAGTCTTTTATTTTATTTTAACTAGGCTTAAAATTAAATAATAAAAGACTAAATATAAAATATTGCCTATAAGGGAACACTGTCTAACCAAGGTTCTATCTAAGGTTGAGGTACTTAAGCTGATTGTAAGGAAACACGTCTACTTGGGAATCGACCCGGGGGTTGAATTAGTCAATATTTTATATGCATGTAATAATGTTGTTAGTTTATTAAAATGTTTAATAAACTAAAACATTAATGTACAACTATCAATATAAATAGTTATATTGGGCTGACTAAAAATTCACTTAGTTAATTTCACTTAGTCGGGATTTATCTAAGTAATATACCCGAGTCTTATAATACTAAGTGGGAGCAAAAGGGAATAGGTAATATACCACATATATGTTTGATATACAAGGTATATATATAACATATTTTTCTATTCTTCTCACGTTCTCCACTATATTAACACTGTGAGTTCCAAGCTCGGCCTCGTGTCGCCCTGGGCACGGCCTCCCTACGGAAGGTGTCTGCATGGTTCAATATCAAGGTGAATGAAGATAGTATTCATAGTAAGTGGGAGAAGGATGTGTGACAACACATGCTACGGTCTCCACCATTGGTTTGCACCGTGAGATTTCATACATGACCTATGTCTCGTCTTGGAGCGACCATCCCTACAGAGGGTTCCTTGTATGGGATCAAAACCAAGGCAAACTCTATAAATAGATAAGGGTCTTTTAGGTTTTGCTCCAATATTTTCCTTCCCTACGGCGGTATTATTAGGGCGGACTTATAAAATAAATGTCATCCTACGGTGGCTGTTGCTCTAAATCACTGAAGCGTCGTTGCAAAACAATTTTGTTAGGGTGCTTAATTACTTTTGCTAAAATTTTATTGGGTTTGAAGGATAATGCATGAAAATAATATAGGTTTTTTTTCAACATTTCTACTTCTATTATTGCACTCCTAGCCACGGAAAAACTGAATAGTGAGAATTAAAAACAATGGAAATAGAATCTAAACACTTTACTCGTGATAGATGATCTTAGGTTCGTCTTGCAAGAGGATTGTTCTCGAGCTCTTGCGCCTAAAGCCATTGTGGCAGTGCGCAACGTTTATGACAGATGTATCAAGGCCAATGACAAGGCTAAGGTCTACATCTTCGCGAGCATATCTGATGTGCTTGCTAAAAAGCACGAGGACACGGTCACTGCTAAGAAGATCATGGACTTGCTGCAGAGCATGAACAACCGTCCCCACAAGCTCGACGTGAAACCTTAAAGTTCATCTACAACTCCCGTATGAAGGAGGGCTCATCAGTGCGAAAACACGTTCTCAACCTGATGGTTTATTTCAACGTGGTAGAATCGAACGGGGCTGTCATAGACGAGCAGAGTCAGGTCAATGACTGATGGTTTGCTGAACGCACGCACTAAGCGTGGTAACAATTATATAGATGCAAGCGCACACCTGTCAGAGTAATATAAAATGGATGGAGTATCCAAGTATCGATCCTCAAGGACTTCTAAATAATTTTCAAACTCTAAAGTTTTAAAGAATAGTGAATGTTGGAATGAGTGATTCTTGTAAAATGGGAAGTGGTCACAAATAATGGTTTTGGATTTGGGATTTGGACTTATAATGATAAAACCTAGCCCGAATTACTTCAAGTTAGCCAACAAAGAATCAAAGACATGCTAAGGACAATATGCATTTTACTTTAGAAACCAACGACTACGCTTCTCACTTGACTTATGTTTTAAGCAAGTTCAAAGTCCTAAGACATTCCCTAATATGTCTATTATGAGATATATCTTAGTTTTAGGATGGAAATAGTCGCAACCTCGGGTTAAGGTCCTATGTCWAGGCTACTTAAGCGGAACCCTTATGTCTAAGGCGCTCCTCTCCTCAGTTTAACCACTCAACAATGCAAATAAGCAACCTTTTCAGTATTGACTTGTTAAGACTTACAGTGGCCTTCTCTAAATCCTAACTTTTTG